CCTACACCAGGATGTTTAAGAATAACTATCTCTCCATATTTCCGTACTATGGCAGAACAAGCTGGTCAGGCGGACACTATGGCTTTAAAGCAGAGCCTTTATTGAATCTCAAAACCGGGAAATTTGAATATACCAATCTTGAGTTGACTTTTGGTTTTATAGCAAGCATCTCGATCTGCGCAGGCATTCCGAATAACTTTGATAAGAATTCATTCTACGCAGGTTTTAAAATTGGCTATGGAATTCCATTTCCCACCTTTTTAAAAGAGTAGTGTCTGTAAATTTTGAATCGTATATTTAACTATGGCATTCAGATGTCCGCTAGTAGCAATTAAAGAGATAAACATATTATGAGATTAGCAGTGACTTTTATTTTGGTAATTCCCTTCGCGTTCTTCGGACAGATTCCACTTAAATTTAAAACTCTGGAATTTTTAGAACTGGATAAATCAAAACTAGCAGACATCAAAAAAATAATGGGAAAGCCTGGTCGTGAATACAAACATAAGTTTGATGATCCGGGTATTAGTTATGAGAATGTGCTGGAATATCAGGACAAGCAACTGACTCTTCGCTTTGACCGTAAGACCAATGATTTGTTGGCTATCGATCTTGGATCGCCGACAAGTATAGAAGTGATTCCAACTATTAATACCGGAATTACCGACAGTAGTCATGTAATTAGCGTTTTTGGAAAACCCTCTCAAAGAATTTGGGAAGATAATCTATATGTATTCAGCTATTTTGATAAACAAATGAATAGATATTCTTTTTCCTTCAATTCAGAAGCAATTCTTCAACGGATAGTTGCCTCGGCAAAAAAATACAATGATCGATTGATTATTTCACGTTGATACAAAACGACTCTATCTTCGCTTGTTATGCTGTATCATTACGTATTCAAATTCATTTCTCTATTTTAGCTTTGCTCAAAGACCCAAACTTGTGGTAGCGGGGGAAAGATGCCGACACCGCTATTCAACAACTCATAAGAGGCAACTACTAATGACAACATTTCTTTCAATAAGCGAAAAGGACAATTCAGACTTTATAAATAATATTGAAATTATTCTTCGGAACAGGCTTTCAACATGGAGGCCATTCATTGTTG